TACTGTGTTAGCAAAATTAATCTTCAACTTTGTTAAAAAAATGTTTCCTTGCATTTAAACACATTATAAATTCATGATTATGTGGGGAAAAAGGAACTGGAAAAAAATCTAGGGGTGAATTTTGTATTATTGGTTCTACTGGTTGTCTCAAAGTGATATGGCTCACAAATATTAGCCATACAGTGAGGTGTGGGTAGGATTTCATAGAGGATTGTATTATATAGGGTTCTGGGTACTGTTTTCCTGAAATTATGGCCAGTAATTTGCTTCAGGTCTTATATTATCTGACCAAGTTCCTTCATCCACCTGTAAAAGAATCAAGAGACACTAAATTCTAGAATAACTGTTCACATTTGCATAGTTCTTTTAAGGGTTTCAGATTACTTTAAAAAGAGGAAATAAATATTTCTTTTTTCAGTGATGGGGAAAGTGGGGCACAATTAAATTAACTTGCCCAAAGGTCATGTCACAAATCAGTGGTTGAACCAGCGAACAAAAAAATAGAGGTCTCTTGACTACAGCTGGCCAGGATTTTATTTTCATTCCCAAATACCAATATCTTGAAACGAAAACTGTTGTGGTTTCAACAGGAAATGTTTGTTAGGTCATAGCTAGGGCACTTTCATGCGGTATGAGAGACTCAGGTTCACAATCCTAATCTACCCGATTCAGAGCACAGACTTGAACCTGGTTCTCCCGCATTCCATGAGAGTCCTCGGGTTATTGCCTGTTCTGCCGGCTTGCGTTCTCATTCTAGTGCAGAATGGAAAAACTAATCCCCCTTACCTCTTCCCTGGCCTCCCAATTCTTGACTGAACTAGTACACTATGCTTCCCTGTTCCTTGCCTGAAACCTGATTTACTGTACCATTTGCCCAGGTTTTTTTCCCCCCTCCATAACAGCACTGCTATTCAAGATACTGAACCACACAAAAAGGTTTGGGGTGTATTTATGTATTCTGAAAGGTACTTTGCAAGATATCACAGCACTCATCTTTCTCACTGTTCAGCCTCCTGGCCTATTTAGAAAACAAAGTCTTTGGAAAGCAACAACAAAGAATAATTAAAAACCTGTAATCTGCCTCAGGTAATGACATGACTGAAGCATAACATTTTGTCTGGCGGGTCACATGGCAGCTTTATGAGACAGCTTTAAAGCTAATTCGGAAAGGACCTTTGATATTTCACCTTTTGTTGTTAACAGTCGCTGTTTTCTGACTCTTCGGAGGAAAACCCATGGGATATTCCCTACAGCGTTAACAAATCCCACACGAAACATTCTGCACCATTACATGGTTTAACAGTCTCAGGATACTGCCAGATAGAGACATGCAGATTTTCAAAGCCATCCAAATAATTTAAATCCCTAATATCCACTAATACAGAGTAATCATTCGAATCACTTAGCCAGTTTTGGGAGCATAAACCACAGTGTTTCTTTTCCTAGAGAATGGTATGAACTAGACATGGTGATGAGTTTCAGCTTTCAAATTGGGTAGACGAAGCTGAAGAAGACTATTAGATTGCTGTTTTAGCATGGCTGTCTAGGGTCCTTTTTTTTTTTTTGAATTGATCACTGGAAAATCCAGGGTCAAAACCCTCCTGTTCAGCTGTATAGTACTAATTATAGCATACGATATGGACAAACAGTGAGCATCTTTCCATAAAACACAAAATAGTCACTCAAATTGAAAAGCATTCCTTGAGGACTGCAAGAATCTACTTTACTTTTTGTGACAAACCAGAAAAATTGTGAGCATGTCAAAGGGCTTAAATATTCTTAAGAAACATTTCTTCAGCCAATGTAGCCCATTTTTAAAAATCATAAATAAACACTTAGTAGACCTGGATTTGTACAAGTGGAATCATTACAGAAAATTGTTTGAATGCTCTAAAAAAACCCCAACATATAATTTATTGGCGGAAAAATAATCATTTTAACTATGTGTTTGACTACTTGCTATTTTTTGTTTGTGGTCTGTATCTGGTTATCTACAATGTATGATGCTTTTCCATTTCTCCCTCAAAGGAAAGAAGATCTCATGATGGTCACAAGTTTGGCAGAGGCTTACTTGTAAGAGTAGTCTCAAGATTGTTGTTCTCAAAAATATATTGCAGAATGCTTCAAATGCTTGTAGTAAATGACCAAGATGGATTTTTAAATCTAATGGAAAAATGTGGATTTTATTTGCATGGCTATTAGTGAAAAATTTTGAATAATTCCCTTATTTCTACTTGGGTGGGACTCTTGTTGAGGGAAACTTTGAGGGATTTGCAGACCCAAGGGGGCTGAATACATTTTGCACACTCTCTAAACCAAACCGCTCACCCTTTGTAACTTGTCTGTCGCTGGCTTTTGAGTCAGATCAGTAGTGACTAAAAATTGTTCTCGTCATGGCTTTGTGAAGTGAGTTAAGGAGTCTCAGAAAGAGATATTTATCTCTTGTGGGAATCAGTGGAAATATTTATCTCCACACCAGAAAACCATCAGTACAAGTAGAAGTTCTGGTGCTGGCCTCAGCTGAAATTTTGGCCATTTTGCCACATTTGAGACAAAAAGGCAGGTGAGGTGTGCAATGCAGCTGATGCTCATGCCTTTAAAGAGGCCATCCTTTTGTAGTGTAATGCAAATCCATGACAATACTATTGTCTATGCATCCTGGGAAAACACTTTCCTCCTTAGCTTTTGGGAAAAAAAGGCCTTTAAATGAACAGATAATTTTTTCCCCTTCTTTTTATTTGTGAACCCTGCCAGACTCCCAGAGGCTATTTCCCATAAAAGAGAGAGGTGCAGACAGACGGTGAAATCCTTTATATTAACTTTGTCACATACATTTATCAGAGAAGGGTCCAAGACTTTTGAAGAAACTGGCAACATATTTAGAGAAGGAATATGGATTTTTCTCCATGTGGAAATCATTTGGTCTGGTTTCTAAATCCCAGTATCTCCTGGGATAGCTCATACTTGAGGTGGGCTCAAACTACAGAATTCTGATTTGATTCCTCCCCTAAACACCAGGATTTGGAGATACCTGGATCTGCGGTATCCCTGTAACCCATGAAGAAAAATAGCAGCTTGTCTGGATATGCAGGTAAGAATCATCAGCCTCACTCCATACATAGGGGATGATGGAGGCCTGAGTAATGCTCCAAAATGTCAGACACCCCAGTGAGCTCAGTCTATGGGGCTTGTATTTTCATGTCCAGAAATCACAACATTTTCTAGCCTGACTGCATATTCCCATGCACAAAAGACCATGTTGCATGGAAAAAAGGTTGCTTGCTGGTATGTTTTATACAGGGTAAAAATTAGTCTCCAATAATTATTTCTTAGAAATCGTTGAGCAAAACATCTTCAAACATGCTTGTTTAATCTATCTGTTATATTCCTGACACCAGCTTTCTTCAGGGTGTGTTTCTAGGTGACTTGCTTAACGCTTTATAAATGATTTACAACACTGTCTCTCTGCCCTGTTTGAGCTCTGCCATGGCAATAAAATATATAAAGGAGAGGGAAGAAATCAAATACTCATGAAAACCAAATGGATTTAAAGTGAAAATGTTGTCAAGGTAGCAGTAAAAATAAAATTTCAGGTTTCCATCTATTGCAGGTTTAATCTCCCCGGAGCATCTACATCAAAATTATTTGGTACTTAAGTCAAAAGATGCTTCTGTCAGCCAACTATGGAATGAGAGAAATCAAGTTTGTAACAATTTAGGATGAAGACTCTTTTTCAGTTCTATATTTGTTCACTGCCTAGCATAAAGGAGTCTTGGTCTGTGATTCAGGCTGCCTAGGGAAAAAATCATCATCATCATGTGGCTTTTTGCCTTCTACGGCATCCCTGCCACAAAGACACTGAAGGTGACAATCTATTTCATGATGTGCAAGTAAGAATGACGACATGCCAAGCAATACAGAAACCAACTGAGCCCTCCCACTCCATGATTTCCACTCCCAAAGGCAATAGCTAAAATGACTACACCTGCTTTCTCAGCACAGCCCAAGATCAGAGTGAAGAAATAAACTATGGTTTGGTTTTTACAGTTCTGGTAACACTCCGATACCAAAGGTCTAGGTGTATTTTAAATTCTTAAGGAAGGAGAAATGACAATCCAGCTTCCCACACCTGCACTGGCTCTTATGTATGGTAATTACACTGGACAAGGATGTAGCTTGAATCAGTGCCTGGGTCAAATATAAACAGATGCCATTTCAAATATGATATCGATGCCATTAAGAGAATATATCAATTCTCTTATATTAGTACATACATGCACATGTGCACGCATGTACACACACACACACATGCCCATCATGGCATTTTCTGATCACAATTGACTTTGAACTTGAAGTAAACCTTTATTCATGCTTTCCAGCATTCCCTCCTCTACCTTCACCTCATCTGATAATCATGTAAAGGACTGAAGATGCAGAGAAAAGCACTCATTCATGGGCCAAGGGGTACCTATGTCCTTTGAGTGTAATGGAAAAGAGAGAGCTGATATACAATGGCCCAGAACTCCACATTCAATTCTACCTTAAATACATCTACTGAAAATACTGTTTGTGATAGTATGATGCCTTCTTTTCAGCAAAAATAATCATCCATTACCAACTGAATTGTGTTTTGCTAACCAAACTGGCTACTAGTACCATATTTACTTGAATCTAAGACAATGCTGCATTTAAGATGCTCCTCCCAATAGAACCTATATATGGAAAATGTATACATTTGTTATAATTGTCAAAGTATTCTAACTCTTGCAGGGGTGTTTTAAATCCATTGCCCCTCCTCCCTAACACACACTGCTACACAGCAGGGAAAGCAATGCCTGGGGAGGTCAGGTTGCCCCATTGGCCATTCCCCCCCCGCCACACACACTTCTTCCCCCTGAAGCCTTCTTGCCTCCCTACCCCCAGTTCCCCACAATCTCTGCCCCATTCTCCTCACCCACACCCCACAGTCTCTGTCTCTTCCCCCTCCCCCCTATACTTACTGTCAGATGCTGCTTGGGCTCTGTTTCTCCCCAGAGCACATATGGAAACTCAGCCTTTACCAGACCATGCAGCAGCACTGCTGCTTGGCCTGGCATGGGGGCAGAGTTTCCCTGTACTCAGTGCCTGGGACAGAATCCAGCCAGAGACCGAGCTGAGCTGCACCTGACAGTAAGGGGAGGGGAGGTGGAAAGGGATGGGCGGAAGCTGCAGAGAGCATGTGGAGAGCGGGTCAGGAAGTTGCTGTGGGTCTGACTCCGGCTTACTGGGGGAAAAAATAACCTTATCTTATATTTGACTAAATATTGTGGATTGTGATAGTGCTCAGAGTGAGCTAGGTATTTTTTAAACACACAGCCCGTTCTGCGCAGAGCTCACAAAGCACCTAGTTTTCCAAGTCTCTCCTCTTCACTTATATGCTAGATGCTGCCCAGATGGAAAACTGCTCTCTCCGGCACTCTGCATAGGAGGTTGGAAAAAGGGTTTGGTGCATGTTGAATACAAGCACACACAAAATAGCAGCATACCTTCAATGGCTTGTCTAGGGTCATGCAGCCTGTGGCAAAGCAGGGAAATGAACTTGGTTCTTCTAAATCCCACTGCAAAATGCTAAACACTGAACCATTCCCTCCATATGTTATAGGCATTGAGGCCCCACAGGTCTTAATTAATACTAATTGTTAATAAATTATCTGTCTTTGATATAGGGGGGAGGGGTCAAAACTTTTGTGTTGATGCTAAATCTTTTCTTCAACTCTGTCTCCTGTACTCTGCCTCTTATATTCACGAGAGATTTGCCATTGGACCAACTCCCACAGAATAGAGCTAGGGTCCCATCATTTAAACTGATGCAAAAAGTTTTTCCAAAGGGTCAAAGTGCAGGAAGATCTTGTAAGCAGATTAAGGAAGTGATAGAAAGGCCAAAGGGACCCTAAGTCTTTACATTCCCGAAGTACTATGTTAAACTATAGCCCAAGGACGTACTTAACCCCACAGAGCAGAAAGGTCAAGTGAATTTGCATTGATTCAGATGTAATAAGTTTGGTTAGGTAGTATATTGCAAAGAAATATATTTGGAGACATCCTAACATTACTATTCCCTCTCCATGAATAACCCTGACCTATCCCTACCATTATCAGGGAGTAGCCCTGTTCTCTTGGTAACATCAAACAAAGAAACTTTATTGCAAGTTATTTTAAATTGGAGTAAGCCCTTTGGCCTAAGGGCTTTTTGATTTCTTTTTAAAGAGACATAATGTTCACTTGTTTTCTTTAAAGTAATGCAGTCATGCATACAGGGCCGTTTGGTCCCTCTAAAATTCATCCAGCATATGCCTTATGGCTGGTTTCTTCATCTGTCAGCATTCAAGGCAGGATTGCAGCATATCTTGTGCAAGATAAAGAAGCATCATACTATGTGGGAGCACAACATCTCTTAAACAAGGGGCCTTAGGGAGAACAGCTTCAAGACATCAAACTGCTTTCCACCTTCATCAGTTCTCAGCCACTGCTCCTTTTGCTGGGAGCCTTTAAATACAGCACAGACATCTAGTGGCTCAGCAACTTTATGGCAAAAAAGATCATGATGACTGGACTTTGGTGTTTGCTAGTCCCTGCTTTGTTTCACTTTCAATGGCTAACTACAGTTCAGTGTTTCTCAACCAGGGGGTTGTGTGACAGCCTGGGGTGATACCGCATCCTTTGAAGGGTGCTGTGAGATGTGAGGAAATAAGGTAAGTATGAGCAGATAAGCACAGCGTCAGGCTTTACCTCACCTGGCTAACCCTCCAACCCCAATTTCTGGCCCTTCTGCAAGGAGGTAAGCACATGAATTATACATTTCTTTTTGAAATTGGGTGACCCTCAATTCACAGAAGTTTGGAGGAATGCCTCAAGTCCAATTTAGGGTGCCTCAAGTCCAAAACGGTTGAGAACCCCTGCCTTAGACAAAGATGGGAAAATTGTTGCTTTATGTACAACATACAGCAAAGCTAAAGTCTCCTGAAGAAAGAGCATATACATCTGTCGCGGGCACACTCGGATGAATGGCCAGGCTGCGTTATAAGTCGGCAGTGTGCTAGGCCTCGACGCAAAGGCCTCTGGACGAGTGGCGTCTGCTACCCTCACGTAGCAGAAGATCACCCACCTCGAAACTGCCTGACAAACAAAAGAACTGGGAGATAGACTCGGAGCTTGCTCCATCCACTCCATGCATCGGCCTGGTATTGCAAATAATAGCTGGTGTGAGTTGAAACAAAACACTGCAGCCCAAAGTCTTAACATGGCGCACAATTGGTCACTGGGAACAAATTGCTGAGGGAAAAACGACTGATTGGTTGCTGGAAATAAAACGCTACAGCCAAACAGTATAAAAGCAGTCGTGGGAAAAGCCCTGACGGGGGGGGGGTTTGGAATGAAACTTCAAGCGTCAGAGGGCCCGTGGACTGATCACCCACCAGGGCTGCCCCTCCCCGAGCGCTATCTCGGGTCAGTTTTTGAGGCCTCCGTGAAGTGACTAGCGTTCCCCAGCCATGAAGCCTAACTGTTTGTAATTGTCTTGAAACTTATGAACCTGTTTGCGTTTGTGGTAAGCATGCAAGCCTAACTGTTTGTAACTGTTTGTAATTGTCTTGAAACCTATGAGCCGTTGACCAGGTCTGAGACTAGGACCCTGACCAGCCGCACCAAGACCACACATAGTTTTGAACGCAAGGGGCCTTGGCCTGAACCTCGTGACCCAACGGACAAGATTCCTGGTTTGTAATTGTTTTAATTGTTTATATATGTAAGTCATTGAGATTAGTGTAGGAAGTAATAGTAGTAAAGCATTTTGTACATTTTGTTAAGTAAAAATAAAAAAGTTTGGTATAATTCCAGCTGCGTCCTTGTCAGTGCCAACCGTACCGGCCCGGCCACGCCTGGGCATCTCCAACCTAGTGCGACAACATCAACTCTTCATAATGGCTCAGAGCTCACATTAGGCATATTATTTTTACTGGGCAAGTGGTATGGCACTGAGCAGCTCAAGTCACAGATAAGGACCCTCTTAAAATAGGTGCCATTAGTACAGCTTACCAGCATCTCAGGCAGCATGGAAAGTTGGGAAAGTATGTCATTTTGCCAAAGACTGGTCAGCTTTTGTTCTGGGATAGCAAGGCTCAGAGGCACCAGGAATGATGTAGGATGGGGTAGAGAGAAAAAGAATGAGCCTTCTTTCATCAAGTAATGCATTTCCAACTGACCTTTCATATGCTTTTGCTGTCAAAAGCCACTCGTCCGCATGGTGATATGTTAAGGATGATATGTTGGTGTGGGGTATCCCAATGTGCACACAAAGAATGTCCACCATAAGGGTACACAAATTTAATTGGACCCTTCCATGTGGGAAGCCAGATTCATGCTTTTTTTTCTTTACCTTCTCTAGGCTGGTAAGTCAACCTCAGGAAATTTTATTTGCAGGCATTAATTTTAGTAGTATCAGTCCTACATGAAACTTTCCATAATTGGAAACTAGAAAGCTTCCCAGAGGATGCACAGAAATACATTGTGCAATATCCACAGCCAATGACCAAAATGGCCTCATCCACATTATAAAGTGAGAACTTGGAATTGATGTGTATAAAAAGACAATGCTTTTAATTCCATGACAGCATCACAAAAGTTTTTTCAGGGAGACTGTTTTCCTTTTTAGCATAGGAACCAAGAGTTAATGTAGATACTTATTTCTAAATGTAGATTTTGTGCATCTCCAAATGGAAAAAGAAAGGTGATCAAATCCCTTTCTTTGGTCCTGATGATCCTTTGATACCCTTCCAGGCCTACATCTCTATGAAGATGCATTTCAAATTAGGAAAAAAATTCTGTCCAAGACAGCAATATCTGCTTAGTTTTCCTAGGACACCACATAGCTTGTTCAGAGTCTTATCTGTTGAATAATCCATTAGGAAATGTCTCCAGTAAAGCACTCCCAGCTCTTTGACTTGTAATTGCCTAATTGAAATAATATCATTTATTAGCTTCTTAGCCTGAGGCTTTGGATCCAGCTTCTGCTCATGAGCAAACTACTTTGAGGGCGTAATATATGCCTCAGCTAATTATAATGCTGTGTCACCTGATAAAGTCAACTGAGATCATAGAGGGAAGATACAAAAGCATCTGCCAAGGTTTAAGAACTGGTTTTCTCTTTCTTCTGGAGCCAAAAACAGGTTACCTGTAATTAGTTCTAATTTATTAAAGAGTATAGACTGCACTTCCAAGAGATACACTATTATACAACAGGTTCCATTTTAAGAAAAAAAAATCCAGAGATAGCTTACAACCATATGTCTCTTTCAACTGCATATTCCTTTCAGTGGTGTAAGGACCAATAACTTTGTATGAGCGGTAAATTAGGCAAGTTAGATAAGCACTGTATAAAACAACTGTAGAATTGCCAACTACAACTGATTTATAATCATGACTCAGCTCCGCTGCCTCCACCTAGCCCAAAAAAGCAGCCAGCTCCTATTATAGAAATAATGAGACTTAAATAAATAAATACAACAAAGAGTGGGCTCTTTTTATTTTGTTATTTTGTATTTTGAGCATTTTTATATTTTCAAGCTTTTCTCTCCCTCTCTAGGCTAAAAACTTGTTAAAACTTGTAAACTGATATTCTCATATAATCCCAGGATTCCGCTAACAGGAATCTTGTGACAATACCAAATATTATGAGAGTTTGCAATATTACAATCATGTCTATCCTGGCTTCCATCATGTGTGCATTGCAATTCAGCAGGTCTCCACTCGTTGGTACTTAAAGCATCATAATCCATTGCACATTTGACCCAACTGGCAGTCTGTACTCAGAAACAACTAATGGCCAGATCCGAAGGCTAGCATTTAGCTGGACAGGTAAAGCGGTGTGGCAATACCAAACTGGAACGTCAATGCTGTTCCTGTTCTGTGGCAGAATGATTATATTTTAGAAAGAGCCATGTATAGAATTTGGGAATAAAGTATGTGGCAGGTCAGGACTGCAGTGCTTTGGCAGAGCTGTGCATAATGAAAAAAGCATAGCTAGGTCACTCATTATATTGTCCTGAATAT